AAAATCGAATCTCCCATTTCATGAATACAAACTCCTACATACGTTAAATCCACAGCATGAGTACAAATTATTATTGTCTATCCCTTCATTAACAGCCAGACATTTGCCGGTCAAGAACTGTTTCCCCCACATCGCCTTTAAAGAACATTTTAATAATATATACACAGCATATTTATCCTCGCTACACAGAGGGCATCTTCCATACTTAAATCAATTTTTAATGCCTCTCAGCTTCAATTCTCGCTCCGTGTTCTTCTTTTACCCATTCCGATTTAATCTCACTATAAAATATTAATGGTCTCTTCTCCTTAATGTCTGTGAACAGATTACGTCGTTCTGAATCACTGCATCTTTCTTTCCCCTTAGCTCTTGCCAAATACATCCTCGTCCTCGCTCCATCTCTCTGACCAAATATCGGGTTGCCGTTCAGAGCACGCCTTTACCAACACTTCCTTGTCCATCTGTACAGTTCTTTGCCGGCATTTAACATCAAGACACAACGGCCTGCTCACTCTACCACCCCTTCACGGCTCCAATTCAGCAACCCCCTTCTTGCACCCTTGAACCAAACCCACATTTATGCACCATGAATCAGTTTGGACTTACACATGTTGTATAAAAGTTGCGCCCTCATAAAAGGTGTTCTAACTGAACACCTGTCAATGGCTACAAAGAACTGGTCTCCTTTCGCCATTTGTTTCATCGCACTTAAACCATTCATTTTTCTCTCTCCAATTTCTCGCTTGCTTAAAAATCTAGAAATCTGATCTCTTTTTTTCAGATTTCATTCTAATTTCTTGTCACTGCAGCGTTTTACCGTTCTTCCAAACCCCCTCTGCAGCCCACAAAGTGCAAATGATCTGCCAAACAGCATCTCTGAATCCAAAAGTTTGTGCATGGATTACCCCGAGATAAAAAAGAATCCATTTTAAAAAGTGAATGCTCGGAAGCCCTGCACTTTCGCGTTACAGCAGCGACCTACCATTAACCTAAAAACCACTTAGCATTTAACAAACAGGCGTAATGGTTGCCTCAAACCCAAAACAACCTATTTCTGTTAGCAGCATCTCGTGCCCCGTGACATTTCACGCTGTGCTTTGTGTACATTAATGTTGCATCACTACGGGTTTTTGGACGCATTAAGGACTGATCATGTGTGAGTGTGTGTGTGCGACAGCAAATGTGGACAAGAAAACGCCTGGATGGACGTTGATACAACGCTACTAGTGGTCAGTCCAAACCCTTGGTTCTTAAATCTCCGCAATCGGTAAAAACAAGGCGAACGCGCCGAAAGTGTCCTCAGGAGAGACGATGGTTTTCGTGGATACGGAGCGTATCAATAGCTCGGATTGTCTTTGCAGCAGTGACGCGCCTGGCTGACGGACAACGTCTTAGCGTTCTGTTCACAATGAACGCAGGAATTTCTCTTATTTGCCGTGCAGACAAACGAATACAAAGTAATTGACTTTGCCCTGGAAAATATCAACAAGAAACGACACATCGACATGTAGTCTGGAATAAAGTCTTCTAAAATTTAAACAAATGCAACCAAATCCTAATTATGTAAATTATCACAGTGAAAAATCGATGACAGAAACTGGTAAATACTCTTTGCATACTTCGCAATGTGTGAAGAATCAGTCAATGTAAGGCTATCCCATACGATAGACGAATACGCTTCCTTTCAGCTAGTTAACGCATTATGTAAGAGACAAAAGTAATAAGCCTTAATGCACATACAGCCAGTAAGCACAATTATCATGATGATCCGAAGAGATATCTGCCCCGAATGGGGTTCGAGCGTACGACTACCTGCGCACGAGCTCAGAAGTGTAACTCATGAGTTACACTGCATTCTGAGGGATACGATCGGAGATGGAGAGTCCATGTTATCTGCCAGCCCTGCTAACCTGGCTGACAATCTCAAAAATAAAAAGGTAACCGTAGTAGAGAGTGGGTCAGCACGGGGCACAGCCTACGTCTCCCCGGGGCCGCCGGAGGACGACGTGAACCGAAACGACGAACGAACGCAGAGCCATCCTGTATTATGCAGCACTGCAATAACCTACATCGACGCCTTCTGCAGCTGGTCTGGCGTAATCATCGACAGGAGAACCAATTTTGGAGTAAACAACTTCTTGCGCGCTCTAATAATTGAGACTTCAAAAGCCGTTTCCCGTCATTACTCACTTTCTCGCTCGGTAATTCGATCACCCAATTCGATGATAAGTTTACAGTTCCTGGACCTTGGGTTCAATTATTACAACGCGGAAACGGCGCGTTGAAACTGAACGGGGGATGAGTTGCTTCTTATCTCCACCCGCTGCGTTCACTCTTTCAATGATTTCGTGCCCGATTCCAAAAGCTGCAAATGGTACCAGGTTTGCAAAATTTCCACCTTGCCACGCATCGCCTTCACTGAGACCTCTTTACAACAGCTGTGCTATACCAACACTCCATTAAACATGACTTGTGAGCGGTGCCACACACCCACACACAACCAAATGGCTTACACGGACTGATCGAAGAGTCACTGAACCCACATTAAAATATTCACTGATGGCTGCAGTTCAATATATTTCGATTAGATTAACGCAATTATACAAGAGCCCACGCAGGTCGCGTCATGTTGTAACCCGCTAGCACCAGTCCGTCGGTTGTCTTTCACCAGCAGAAGTACGAGGGCGTCTTTTTAACAAGTGCAACGACTGTTCATTGTCGAACGCCGCCTGGCACCTCGTTCTTACTTGACTCTTGCCAGAATGAGTTTTGAAATGCGTTTCCCGATTCTCCTGTGGCAAACAAGTCGACAATATCGCGACTGGTGAAGCATTTCCGTGGCACGGGAAGCGCGCGCAGGAATAGAACATTTCAGGAGTGGGTTGGGCGACTTTTCGATCGCCTGTAAAACAAGCCTAAAAACGACAAAACGTTGTCCTGGCAACACCACACGCAATCACTCTATTGTGCTTGGGCGGGAGAATAATTCGGGTAGTTTTTAGGTTTCAGTATGGCACAACGCGCGTTCACTTCCAGGGTCACGTTGTAGGCTCCTCCACACGGAGCGACACAAAAAGAATTGTCTGTAGGAGGCTGGATGGAGAAAATTGTACCAGGATAAGTTTCACAATCTGGGCTCCTCACTAAATGTTACCAGTGTGATACAATGGACCAGTCGTGTACAACGCATGGAAGAGATGCTAAAGGCATGCGGAATTTAGTAGCAAACCTGAAGGGAAAATATGACACGGAAGACAATATTCAGATTACAGAAACATAATATGCGGATGTCGACAGGATTAAAGTGGATTCGGTAGGGCCCAAGGGTGAGTCCCTGTGAATACGACGAAAGGCAAACGAGACATTCCAACAAAAGAATCACACGATCTAAAAGATGGCGATACTTGACAAGACAACCCATGCAGACGATGCCTCAATGATATCGATAAGAGCCAACAGCATTCTTAGCGGCAAGCAAGTGACTTGTGAGTGCACTTCACAGCAAGGCAGCAGAACTACGCGTTTTAAAGTTCTGAGGCAGAAATACATGTTTCTTGTCAGTCACTGCGCCTTCCTCTCCACTAGAACATGAAAACTGGAGTGAAGCAGTTACACCTACTCAATCTCAGTCTGGACTACAGGCAGTTTCCAAATGCATTATTTTCGAGTTCGCATCCCTAACTGATATTCCTGTTCATTTTTACTGCGAGCACAAAATACACCAGCCATAAAGGAACCTTACATCGCAACGGGAGGCCTCATTAAGAGCTTACACATTACTTTCGGGCGCACATATTTTCTTTTTGCAGACCGCTAATTACGTTAAGCATAAAAAAGTGTTTCATACACAAGTCACGCATGCGCTGCGGTCTGAGCGCCTTGCAACCAGACTTTCCGCACAGCGGTAGAGACGGCCTTAAAATCACCGTAACAGATCCACGTTTAACTTCGGTGACGACAGAACTTTAATTCGCCTGGCACCAACTCTTATATATTTCTTCGTGGGAATGTGGAGGAGCATAGTCTTCCTGGAGACTTTCATTCTCCTTATAGACTGTAATCTTTAATTCCATAGACAGGGCATTCAAAAAGGTAGAGCTGTCCCACTACACGCCATGTAGGCGCTTGGAGGCGAGGGAGAGGAGGTCCTACCTCTGCACGTAAATCTGAACATAGACAAACGCCACATGACATGACATCACAAGGCTTGAAGACGTACTCACTTTTTCCAAGCTGCTCGCATCGCAGGCGACCTGTCCTCCACAGCGTCGTTCGGGGGCCACGTACACATCGCAGTGCTCGCCACAGTCCGCATAAGCGAGCTCCAGCCGCACCCGACCAAACCGCGTTAGCTGGAGGCCGCTCGGCGTTATCCGCGGGACAGCCTTCTGCGGCAACACGCAACCTGCAACACACAGACACAACGGATTGGAGGACGACCACCTCTCGGCCTTCGTCCAACCGGGACGACCTCTTTACGCCTTGTCAGAAGCACACGGAACGATGGAAGAGTCGGAAAGGCTTTATCGGCATGCCTGACTCGCATTTTAAGCAGCCGACAGAACATGCGATGGGAATAATAAATTATGCACAATAGGGTACCATGACGAAAATAAAGAATAATTTCTTCTTTTACACCCAAATATCCAGAAAGTTGAATCAGTTAACAGAGGGACAAAATGTGGAAAGAAACCAAAAGAGAGGACGCCACCCGGGGATCATAAGAGACACACACAAGGTCACCGCTTAAGCGGTACTTCCTGTCTCTCCTCGGCGGTCAGTGATGCATTTCCTGCCGGGAGCCGGCATGACAGTTGTGCGAGCATCCATGCCAGCAGCGCCCTGCAGTGTTTTTCCCGAGAACTACGGAGCCGAACATCCGGTCTGATTTTGCGGACCATCTTGTTAGAAAGCCATCGTCGAAGGAAGTCAAAACTAGCCGAATGACAGGGAAGAGGGCATTGTTATAAAAGCTACAGACCGCAAAACAGAACGTTAAATGCGCTAATCAAGTCTAACAATTTGTGGGGTCCGTGATCAGACGGAACGCGATCGAATTGCGGCAGCTAACAGACGCGCAGGTCGCCATTTGCGTCTCTGCGCCTCCCACCAGTCCTAGCGTCCATGTCCTCGGCGTGCGTGCAGTGGGCAGACTGCGCCCTTGGCGCGTAGGGTTTTCGAAGGGCGAACGCTGCTTGGCGTTCAATAGAAGCCGAAATAAGAGAAACGAAGGGGTGGGAGAATTCGGAAGTTTGTCTCGAATCATAATACCAGCATTCGCGTGCAAAGTATATAGTGTGGAAAACCACGAAAAACATCAATCACAAATGCCTGTCTCTGAACCCAGGACTTTTAGAATTTTACGCCGAGACTTCTTCATTGACCTCAGTAACAACCATGCGGACGGACAGGTTTGAATCGCCCATTCATTACGTGTTCGGCTAGTCTGCAATATCCTCTGCCAATTGAAGGGAACTTCACGATAGAAGAGAAACTCCAATCAAATGTACTGAAGGCAAGTAGTTCCAAATACGAAAGTGCCCAATAAAAAGCTGCGTTTTGAAAAGCCTGATGATAAAAACTCGTGAAGGAAATGCGTGAGGTCGCCCAAAAGAGTAGAAGCCGCATAACCACTCTCTCTTGGCTTTACGGTAATGAGATTCGTACTGCTTTATTTTCAACATTCCACTCCACAGACCTTACTTACTTGCGCTCCTACCCGCCTCTCTTTTAATCTTCAAGAGGAATTCTGGAAACTCACAACCCAACCAATTAAATGCGGCAACATCGTGTTCCTGGCGTAATCCCACTTCACTGAAAAAGGATCTTCAACGCAAAAACTGCAGAGACACAATAACGGAGAGACCCGGGTACGAACCACATTTCTATTAATTCACCTGGGCATTTGCAAATGCTTATTTAAAGGTGCACCGGCCTTTAGAATGTACCTATTGATATCTAACTCGTGTTTTTCTTTCCCAGTTTTTCTTACCCGTTCTGTGTTACAGCTTTGGAGATCTGAAGGCGAAGAAATTATGTGGAGATAAAATTCGGGGGAGGCTTGAAACTATTCGCTTCAGAATACTCTGTCCCCACCCCGACTTCTGTCTAAAACTGTAAAGACTTTGCCTGTGTGGGTTTCGATCTCCAGTCTCGCCGTAGGGGAAGTGCATACTTTGAAGATGTTTGGTAAGAAATGCTGTGAAGAATATCAGGGTCCAGGCAATGCGCAGCTCCACGACTTTGCATTATCAGATCAATCAACAGAAAACAGGACGCGAGTCGCAAGGCATGGAAGAACTCCAACGCGTGTATAATTTCAGTCGGAAAACCTGACAGAAAGAGGCAACTTGGAAGACCTGGGAGCAAATGAGAGGATAATATTAAATGAACTGCCTGTGAAAGACGTGAACTCGATTCACGTGGCTTAGGGTAGGGTCCAATGGGTGGATCTCGTAAACCCGATAAAGAGCAGTTGGGCCCCATAAAAGGCGGGGAATTTTACGACAGGTGAGCGACTACTGGTTTCTCAAAACTAATTATGTTAAATTAAGCTAGTGTTTCATTATAAGTGTGGCCAACAAATAATACAGGCATATTTAAAGAGTGGGGAAGGAGAGGGTTGTACAAGTCTCAGTGGCGAATTCTGCTATGGACGCGAGGTGTGCCGAAATGCTGTGCTGTTCGGCCCCCCTCCCCAATAATCCCACTAAAATGCCAAGGTAAACAACAACGATGATGATGATTCGCCGCGGGTCCAGATTCTACGATGACAGCAATGCCACTCCAGGAAAGTGGACTAATTCTGGTAGCCAGAACACCGCGCAATAAATAGGAACCAGCCT